ACTAATGGGTTGGGGAAATCTAATAAGCATCAAAGCTCATTAACAAGGAAGAGGTTACGGACGTCAACGAAACGTTTTTTGGTTACACTAGGTGGAAAAATATTGTACCTATGTCTGAGGGTTCTTCCCAATGTGTCCTAGGAGTCCTGTAAAGGATTTTTATACAATTTTAATATTCTTTTATGTTATTATTTTTTCTCTTTGCTATGCATGGATTTCTAGGTAGTGATATATCAAGCGATTTATTTTTTTTTATTTTTTTTTTTTTTGTGTAAAATAAGGAAAGCATATTGCTAATTGTATTAAACTAAATCAAATGTATAATAAATTATTCAAACCAAAAGATGTTTCGTGTGAAATAGGTCAAATGAATATTTGTCAAGAAAAATCATTTCAGATTCTTTAAAACTCTTAAATACGTTTCTTTTTAAATAATAAATATAAATTTTTTAACTTGATTTATATAACTTTAAAATTTTTTTTTTCTTAGTTCCTATGGCGCAACGGCAAGAATCCTCAGACATAGCTCTAATATTTTTCTACCAACTTTAACTAAAAAAAGTTTCATTATAATCGGTGACCTCAAGTTCGTAACTCCTTGTAAGACGGATACAATCGATAGGTATAAATGTCGATATTAATCACCAAATCACAATTAGCCAGTATGATATAACAGTCAAACGAACGTACCAAGATGATTAAGTTGGGCTAATATTTAATATATTTATAAACTTACAAACATACGATGAAAAAAACACAAGAGTTTTAAAAACTAGAATAGTGAAATTATTTCCTAGTTTAACTAAAACTTTTCTACACTTTCAATTATCCTTACGGTGAACTTAACAAGAAGATTTTCCATCCTCTGATTTTAACCTGTTTAATGAACCTGTCAAGTTGACTTTGTCTATTAAGATTGGATTCTCCCCTTTTTTATTTATTTATTTTTTGTTCTTCCTTTCCTCGCCTTTTTAGGGCTTTCGGTGGGTTTTCCCAAACCAGACAGTGAGGACAGCGAATTTAAAAGAGCCCGGGACGCGAACTCGTAATTTTATTGTCTCCAAATTTGGTTATCAGGTTGCCGAGCAACGCGCGGTGCTGTGCACAATCGTTAGCCCGTTCGGCCACCACGCCCCCGTATTCTCTCCTTCCTCACCTTTTAGGCTGTACGGGTATTTCTCGGGCCAGACGATGAGGGCGGAGAATTGATGTTAGGGCAGAGAGTTAAAAGTCCTTGGCACCGGGACGCGAACTACGTATGATTTTATCACATCTTCTATTCGGGTTGACCAGCCAACGCGCGGTGCTGTGCACACGTATTAGCCCGCTTTGTCAATCCGCTTCAATCAATTAAGATACTGTTGGTTCGTTTTTCGAAAGACTATGGCACTAAGGAGTGCCCATTCCCCTCTCCCCTAAGTCGTCGATGGCGCATGAACCTTTTCCTCCCTCCCAAGTTATTTTATTGTTCTATTCTTCTTAAATACAGTTCAAACGAAAGTAGAATTTGAAGAAACGTAGATCATATACAAGTACGCTAGCTACGGTCTGTTTCATGTATTTCCCTTGTCCCCAGGTTTGAAACATTTCATTCCAAAAATATGACCCCCTCAAAAATTCAAAACCCACTCAAAATGTGTCCTTTTCAAATATTTTGACCTTGCGTCATGAAACTCCCTTCTGGGCACATCTTGATCATTTTATCGCAAAAAAAGTCATTAAGTGATATTTGATAACCTTAAGCCACTAAGAACTTTGGTTGAAAGATGATTTTTTTCTTTTTAAAACCGGATAATTGTGTGGTTGTTGTAACTATATAATATATAAATATATAAGGGGGTTTTATAGATAAATAAGGTCGAAATTCACAGAAATGTTCTTAAAAGTTCAGTTCCATTAAAATCGTTTTATTTAATGACGTTTTAAATAAAACGGCGATTCGTCCTGAAAGTGAGACTTCGGAAAGATATTTCCTTTTCTTGAATTTATCAATTCAAAAGGAAACTGAGAACATTCTGACGATCTTATTGACAAATCAATTCTCTGAAATTCTCATTGCGCTTAGAAAATCCTAAAGTAGGTATTTATTCCAATTGATTCATAAAACAGAATTGTCAAGAATTTAGTCAATTTCAAGATTTTTGACAGCTGTATATTACTAAGCTGTATTATTAAACTTTTTTTTATTTTTATTCTACATGACTTCAGTACCCGTTTTGAAAACGGTATCTAATTTGTTCTGGCAATACAGACGTTTTCCCTAGAGTGAAGACATTTCGTGAGGTTCTAATATTTTTCTGAAACTTCCACCCATTAACTCTTATCGATTGAGCTTATCAAGCTAAAAGTTAATCTTATATTTACTATATTGTATTATATACTGTATTGTATATTGATTTCAATATAATAATGACAACTTTTCACTGATTGATAGAACAAACTAAGCTACCCATTCTTCTCACACGATCACATATGGAAAAATTGTTCACTTATTCCAAGGTGATCCACATCCTACCTGTAGAGTAATTGTGAAGGAAGATGCTTCTTGAAGTTAATAAGTGAATAATTCAATGCCCATCCATCCCCTATTTAGAAATGATTCCAACTAATATATATATATACATATATATATAAATATATATATTTTGTTTTGGTTGGCGCTGTAGACTAGGAAGATATTTGGTCGAGAGATGTGATCTCCTTATAGGCATATATTTCTTGCGGGAGCACTGATAGCCCGAAAGGGATCACCCAACCTCATGTTGCTACAAACCATGGCCTTCATGGTGCAACGGCAGAACACCCGTGGCTAGCCGATCTGTTTGGGGCCAATTTGGCAATATCGTTCCCACCGACTCACTCGGGTTCAAGGACAGTGACAGATCGGTCTAGATTCATGGATTATGGCTGCTCAGAGTCAACAGGCGCCCGAAGACCTATATTTCTTTTCCTGGAACAGACCGTTCATGGACCAAACCTCAGGGAGGCTACTAACATCCTGATAGACCACTTCCCGATTCCCGATTTAAGTACATGAGGTAGGGTCATCAGTCCTACGCCCAGTCGGTGTGAGTTGCCTCCTTTAGACTGACAGGCTCACATGTCCGAGGGAAGGGAGAGGAATCTCGGGCAGCATGGCTTCCCATGGTGAACGGTCATCCAAATCGGGCGGTCATCCATCCAAATACTAAACACGCTCCCACTAAACACATGAGTCCTCCTCTTGTGAACGGGAGACCGAAATCCTGGTATAACATGCTTAGGCGTACTAAGGTCTTCTACTACCAGGGTTTGGCGGAAACTGGATAATGGCAACAGGGAATCACATAAATAATTTTCATAGTAAAAATTTCAAAAATATTATGTACAATATTTTTCCAACATAATGACGTCTTCAGTTTTTGACATTTTGCTACTTCAGGGTTAAAGAGCCAACTAGAAAACACGTCGTCATTTATATGTGAAATATAAAAAGTAATTTATTACTTATTAAGAAATTTATAAGGTAAGGAGAAAATAAATAATTTATACATAAAATGAAAATGAAATCAGCTTTTATAAAAACATCCTTACACATTGGCGGCGAGCTAGACACAAATATATGCACAGAAAGCCATATTAGTAGGCATTATACCCTCCAAAGCGCATATAGCCCGTTCTCCGCTTATCGGCCTGCAAGCACTTCTCACGAAAGTATCTTTGATTACACAGTAAAATTTTAAAATATATGAAATTTAGAAACTCAAACACAAAGTTACAAAAACATTTATTGCATTCTTTGTTTCTCTTAGAAAGCATTCAAATTTCACAAATGAAGTAACGTTTTAAAACAAACTTTTTTTTTTATCACAAGCCATAATCTGCGCTACTTATTGTCGACGAAACTTAGAGAGAAATACTTTATTAAAAGTAATGCTGCCCTACTACATAGGGTTGCTTCGTACACAGCATACCTATCAATCCACAAGGACATTAATTTTATATTTCATTTTATTTAATAATAATGTAATAAAAAAAAGGATTTTTTTACATTGCATTCCTTGTCTCTTAAAAGATAACAATTGAGTTAAACTTTTCCATTCTGAGCATAAGCAATTTTCAATCTCTCTTAGCAATAACAAAATTCTTTACCTTCGATAGTGAGAAAGAAAAAACCTTTCTTGGAACTATCACCATTTATTTTCGGGTTAAAAGACGGAGAACCTCGCCATAAGCGCATGCCGCTATCTTCCAAGATTGCTGGTAAGAGCAGATTGGATTTCCCAGTTTCTCTTTTTCATCCGACTATGGAGTTGTTATTCCTGCAACATTTTATGAAGGATTATTGTTTTAATGATAATTATTTTTACTCTTCGACATGAAACTTTCTCTCCTATTTACCTCGACAATGTTCCTCAGACAGATAAAGTTCAATATCTCTGACTGACATTTGGCATTGAGTCCACATATAATACTAGGAATTACTAAGAAAAAAACAAAAATACTAAACTTAAGACTACGGTTACTATATTCACTCCTTTCAAGACTTCCGAAATTAAAACTTAAAAACGAAATTTAATACACACACTTACTCACTTAAGCCCATTTCTGACTATACTTTCCAAATATATGGGACAGCCTAAAAGGCTAAAAGATCCACATACGCAAACTAAAAACTTTTCAATCAAAACTTTTCAGAACTATAACCAAAGCTCTCTGTTACGTTAGCAATATTACTTCACATAAAGACCCTAGAGCAAACTCGCTAGTTGTTGGTATCTCTGATAGACATAAGTTGAAAAATAACGTAAAAAAAAAACTTTGTTATACCTGAAATCTATCTAGGTAATCTATGTTTATTAATTGGGTATCTTCAATGCTTCTTCCTATATTCAGGGTTAATATATTGGGGGGTTAGGCTCATCACTAGTCGCCATTTGATTTCATCAGAACAAACGGAATCCTTGATGACGTCAAAGTCAATGATAGGAACATGCAGCCTAGATTCCTCAGTAGTTGATGAGCAGTTGGTTCAGTCAGTGCTATGCTTCCCTCTCTATTATACTTATCGATATTATATGGCGTCTCTGCCCAAAAATATCTGTATCTGGGTGAGTCAATATATACATTTTTGTGTTCTCTATTTATCACATCCGAGTATTTCTTGAAGTTTAATACAAGTTTTTATGAATTTATTTAAACAGTAGTTTTCTATTAAAATTGCAAATTTGTTCTATATGACAAATTTAAATGAAATTATAATATTTCCACCTCCGTTTCGTTCAGTATTTCTCAATTATGTTAAACTATATCTGCTTCTAAAGTTATATATGTATACATAAAAACACACACATATTTGTACATTCTTATGACGTAGTCTTTTTGAAAAAGCAACCAGAAATTTAATACTTATATTTAGTTATTAATTTCGTATTATATATATTTTTTAATTCCATAGATTTGAAATAAATGGAATGATTTCTCATATTATTTTCTTAATATGGCTAAATTTTAAAATTTATTGCATTCTGAATATTATATAATAAATGATTATTATATTAATATGATAAAATATTGTCAACTGAATTTACTAACGCACTATATCATTTTATTACTCATTAGTTAGCATAGGAATTATTTATAATTTATGTATGTTTACTAGTACAACATATATGCGAATTAACCAAGCCAGCAAGGAAGTTAATACAAAAGCTATACAAAGGGATATCATATATTAAATATCAAAACTTTTTTCTAGAGTTAATCTATATTATTTTTCAATGTGGTGTTTTTAAACATAGCTTGTATAATTTATATAGTTAACTAATTTAATGTATTATATTTTATGTTTTTATTTATTTATTTTTTTCTCTGAGAGCCATAACACATGCTTTTATAAAGTGCTTGTTATGAACATAATCTACAGGGATGTACATTTCCATTAAGAAAAAAATTTAATAAACTGTCTTAAAATCATTTAAACAGTATTATATAAAAACGAAATCTCTTTTTTCCAATTAAATTGTGTCACATTTTCAAATTTAAGACAAATTTATAAATTTATTGAAAATAAAAAAAAGACAAAACTGAAGAAGACCACTAACAACGGATTACAGTCAGTGAGCCACCGATTTCAATTTTTTTAATTTTTTTTATTCCACACCAAAAAATATTGGACAGATATTTTAATAATATAATAATATCATCGGGGCATATCAGGAGAGGAAAAAATATTTTTTATTATTTCAATATATACATTTATATTATTGTGGCTAGGTATATATTGGGATATTCTTATCGATTTCTTTCGAGGTATAACAAAGTTCAATTGTATAAAAAATTACAAAAACCATAAAGACGCTTTCAGTGAAGTAGTGAGTAAATTTGTTTTGTGAACAAGTTATATTCGTTGTTAGCATCCTTTAAAACCCTTATATAAGAATTATAAATTTCTTGGTGAATTTTTTTCCTGTCGTTTTCTAAGGCATTGTGAAGGCTTATGTTCAATTTTCAAACGCTGCTCAAAAAAACGCAAAGGAAAGGAAGTGGAAATACATAGGAAAGGTAAACTTGTTAAGAAGACAATGCCTAAATAGGAGTTAACATTTTTTATTATTAATTTTAGTGATTTTTTTTTGTGTGAAAATGTATACCTTTATTCGCATTCCTATATTTCAACACTGCAATCACCTGCTCTGGAATCAACTTACTCACTGTCTGTACAGATAATATAAATTTTCCAACTAGAAATATCTCTAAAACGATTTTGCTCAAAAATATTGAAATTTGAATAGGTCGTTCTGCCAACTGAAAGGCTCAAATAAGCCTGTAGAATTCTTTGTAATTAACATAGGTTCTCATTTTCTTGAACACGCTCACGTAAAGAAAAATTATTTTCATCGATTCAAAGATTCAAGATATATTTGTCGCTAATGTTGTCGTTTATTCTATCCATGAGGACTTCCCTTTCTCCAAAACTACTAGATCAAAACTGGTCATGGGTATTATTTAATTTTGTTTCTTTGTTTAGAAGAACTGAGCTTAAGTTGGCTCCTCTCAATGATATTTAACTGTGTTTTTACGTAAACTAAACTATTTTTAATTCAATGAAAGGATTTATATTCAGTAAAAGGAATTCCTTTACATTTTTTCTTTTTTCATGTCTTGAGACTGAACTATAACTTTTAGAGTAACCGTAAGGATGTCGTCTTATTCTAATCACCGAAAATTCGAAAGAAAAAAAAATTAAATTACAAATTTCAATATGGTTACAAAAACTCTAGAATCATATTTTTACTTTCACTTACGTATAAGGGTAAGTATTGCGATCGAGAAAATTTTTTGAATCTGAGTTTTCAACGGAAATACACGTTTTGAGGTACCCTGAGTCGAAATGACCAAGTCCCGAAAAATGGTCTGTGTGTCTGTGTTTTTGTATGTTAGCAGTCTAGCTCAAAAACGAAAAGTCCTACGAAACTGATATTACGTATTTAAGATAGGTAAATGCCTTAGATGTGACGGCAACTTTTTCCTTAAAATCGGCTAACCGGAAGGGCCATTTTATATCAACGCTGAAACACATTTTTGCAATTTTCTCAAAAACGGTTCTAACGATTTTGATTAAACTCGGTGTGTCATTGTATAATTAAGTGGTATTTAATATCAATTAGGTCTTATCCCCATTGATGTCACTTTACAGGGCTTAAATGCCCAATGTTCGTATACGTCTTCCTCTAAAGTACCTTTAATATGGTTTATTTTAAAAAGTTAACCATTTCACATTATTCAAAGTTACGAAAAAATGCTAAATATAACTTTTGAAAGAATTTGATAAGTTAATAAAGGAGAAAAAATAAAATGCAGAACAACTTGCGTTGCTATAGACAGCAGCGCCTAAACGAATGAACTGATTTCAATGAAACTTCGCTAAAGTCATTTTCTCGACACCCTTTAAATTTATCTATATAACATACTTCAACGAAAAGAAGCTGGGAAAAAGTTGCAAGGAACGGTAAAATTAAATTCCGAATAACTCAAAAAGTATACACTTTTTTGGGAATGTTGTATGGTTTTTTAAAAGTTTATGAAATTTCCTAAAAAACAACAAAAAAAATTGTCAAGATCGGACAATTTAGAGGAAAGATATGGTCTCTAGTTGTTTTCCCTGAAGAGGCGAAAATTTGGATAAATTTAAAATATACTTTTTTAATTGTTGAGGCTAAAAAAACCTTTTTTCTACAGATATTTAATAAAGTATTTTTCCTAAGAACATTTTTCATAAAAGGTAAGTACCTAAATTTATACCTTTATTCTCAGTTCTATATTTCAACACTGCTATCACCACCTCCGGAATCAACTTACTCATTGGTTGCATAGATAACTTTTTCAACTAAAAATATCACTAAATTGACATCACTCAAAAATGTTGAAATTGGAGTTAGTCATTCTGTGGTTTATAAAAGCAAAGAAAGTTGTGTGGTTTATAAAAGCAGATGGAGCAACTAGATTTTTATTGCCTGTCGTCGATATATTAAATAGACATTTTGTAATTATAATGGTTATAATTTTATAATAGCTCAGCATTGGCAGAAAATAATTTCTATTCATAGTAGACTGGTAAGTGAAAGTTGTGTGTTGCGCGCACCAGACTTTTTTTTTTGGACTTGGTGTTATATACTAATTAAAATTCATATTTATTTACATCACAGTCCACACCCCTGCTTCAGGTATGGGAGCCTCAGCAGGTTTCTCTGTTTCCGTTCGTTTTATCTTTTACAGTGGTATTATTCAAGGATGTCCTTCCTATGTACTCGGAGGATACTGATTTTTAATTCTTATTCAGTGGGGATATCCAAACAAGTTCACATAGCTAATTCTCATGAATAATGTATGTAGTTTAAGAGAGGGTAGCCGCTTTTGTATTTCTTTTATTCCAGTTAGATAAAGCCGATCCATTGATTAAGTAACATCAAAATCAATTTAAATGTCAAGTACATAAAGATGATTAGTGTTTTGTTTTTTTTTTCAGAAAAACTTTACAGATAATAATAAGGGTGTTTTTGATGGCCCCGTCAATTGAAGAAACTGTGTTATAAGAAACCAAAGGGACAGTTTTAGAAACCGGTCTAAAGAAATGAAAAAAATCAAAATTGATTATCATTAATGTCAAAGGATAAAAAATCCGTTTTAATGCACCAATGATTTAACGGCGTCATGAAATAAACATGTGTGGGCAATGGAACGGGATAATAAGACTAATATAGTTAGAGCAGAGACCCAACCAGGGATATAAAGAGTGAGTTGGGTCTTGTTTAGATTAGGCCCGCCAGTGATTTTTTAATGATACTTAGTTAGTTGTTACAGTTGTTATGAAACTTGATACCTTTGATATAGAAATAAAATCACATGTTTAAATGTTATTTACTTTAGCATTGTTTGTGTAATTGCTATTATAAAATGATAACACGATGAATATTTTTGAAATTTAGTATTTATTCAAAGAAGAGGAACGAGCCAGGATTTTCTTTGAAGAAATAGTAATTCTACCTAAGAAAAGCTATTGTAAAAAAGGCCACATAATGAAATTTTACTAAGATAGGAAAAAATATAGGTGCAACAAAAGACAATTTCGGTATGAATGTGGCATGTATTGTAGCAGGTACGTGACAGCAGGCTACCGCTCTTTTATTCATTTGCTCATGGGCACAGTTTAAATTCTGTTCCAAAGAATTCAATATGAGTTCTGCTACAATTGTAAATTGGCAAAATTATCTGCGGGAGGCGTGCACAGCTAGTTTGCTGAAAAACCCGATTGTTATTGGAGGGAAAGGAGTGACAGTTGAGATAGACGAGTCCTGTTTTTCTCGTCGAAAGTATAATGTGGAACACACCTCTCCACAGCAATGGGTGTTTGGCGGGATCAGTGAAAATAAAGAGTGTTTTTTGTACGCAGTGTATAGGAGAAGAGAAACCCTGGAGGAGTGCATAAGAACATCAATTAGACTGGGTTCCATTATAATGTGTGACCTGTGGAAGTCCTATAGTAGTGGGATAGAAGGAATGATTGGAAATGATTACAGTGAATGTTCTGTAAATCACTCCAAAAATTTCG